TGTAACGTATTCACTAAATAATGAATCTGATTATAGACATAATAGTTGCGTCTTTTGATTTATTGTGACTAGTCATCAAATTTATATGGATCCCAATTCCATTTATGTGCCATTTATACACTTTCTCTCTTACTAATTAAAATCCTTAGTTGAATTGCTATTCAATTTATGACCAGGTGATCCAGAAGCCAAAGAAGAGAACGTCCCATCCCACCCCAGAAGCTTTACTGCCAATAATCAAGCAACAATAACCCCTAAACCTAAGAACTTCTGGTGGTGGATTAGAGTGGCCCTCTACTCACTCTTTGGGCTCTCTGGCCAATCGGTGGGCACGCTCCTTGGAAGGCTCTACTACAACAAAGGAGGCAACAGCAAATGGCTTGCCACACTTGTCACATTAGCAAGCTTTCCCATCCTCCTTCTCTACTTCGTCCCCACACCTAGAAACCCCAATAACCCCCACATTGAAACACACTTACAAGCTCAATCTCAATCCCAATCACCCTCTCTCAAGAGCCTTGCCCTTGTGTACCTCTCTCTAGGCACAATTGTGGCCCTATATTGCTATTTATACTCAGTTGGCCTCTTGTACCTCCCTGTCTCCACCTACACCCTCGTTTGCTCCTCCCAATTGGCCTTCAATGCCCTATTCTCCTTCTTCCTAAATGCCCAAAAGTTCAACCCCTACATCACCAACTCCCTAGTCCTCCTCACGATCTCCTCAACTCTCCTTGTGTTCCAATCAAATTCAGATGACCCCAAGGGGGGTCTCCAAAGGGAAGTATGCACTGGGGTTTGTGTGCACAATCGGGGCATTAGCCGGTTATGGTCTTTTCATGTCCTTAACCCAACTTTGCTTTAGGAGGGTCATAAGGAAGGAGACTTTTAGGGCAATTTTGGACATGCTTGTGTACCAATCTTTAGTGGCTAGTGTGATTATTGTGGTGGGGTTGTTTGGGAGTGGTGAGTGGGAGAATTTGGGGATAGAGATGTATGCCTACGAGCTAGGGAAGGTGAACTATGTGATGAACTTGGTCGGTATGGCGATTAACTGGCAAGTGTTTGGGATCAGCACAATTGGGTTGATATTAGTCGTGTCGTCTTTATTCTCGAACTCGATTAGTGTGGTGGGGTTACCGATTGTGCCCATTTTCGCAGTTGTGTTCTTTGGGGAGGGGATGGATGGGGTCAAGGTGATGGCTATGATCTTGGCCATTTGGGGGTTCGTTTCTTATGTGTACCAACAATATTTGGACGATGCCCAGTTGAAGTCTCAAAGGAATATTGTTGGTGGGGATGAGGTTAGTGTGAGATCGCCACTAAATGCTCCAATTGCAAGAGTTGGTGGATGATAAAAGTTGGTGGAGTATTTCAATTTGGGTTAAGCCAAATTTAAGTAGAGAGAGGTAATTTCTTGCTGTAATTATTTGGAGTTGAAAACGAGGAACATAATAAGAAGATTTTTTTTTTGGTCCAATAATAAGAAGATTGAAAATGTTGCTAATGTTTGATTGCTTCACTGTGTTTTAAATTCAAGAAAGGACATGCCGTCTTTAGTGCCCATTTTGCAATCTCATATGAAAGTTAGTTACTTATGTGTCATTTGACTAATATATAGTACTATCTAATGCAAATAATACTCGGATTATATTATTAAACATGGGACAGAGGAGATACTTAAATTGCTTCGTACGCAAAAAACTAAAGAGTTGACCAAAGTTCTGTCAGTTATCTCCGATCCTTTTTAAGGTAGGTAAGGCAATTAGGGGGATGCTCACCCTGAGGTTGTAGTTGTTACCTTAACCTCAGCAGTCACTACTACTTAGGGGCGCTCTTGACCAACCCTACTAGTGAGTTGACCAAGAGTATACGAGCCTTATTTTACGCCCTAGGCGACCGAACAACCCTGAGCCCCCTGTTCCCCCTGGATATTTATCTTTCCCAAAGGGATGGAATATCTTGCTAGGGTTTTTATATCCCCAAAAGCCTAAATGAGAGACTTTAGGAGATGAAACCTTTTAAGGATATTCTCATATTCAAATTCTTCAGTTATATCTGATCCTTTTTATTTTCTTGTAAGACTTAGCAGCAGGTGATTTTTTTTTTCCATTTCACTATAAGACAAATTGCATATGTCCTACCGATTGATTGAACATACTATTATAAATTATTGAAATCATACGAACTTCCGAAGTTTCAGGACCTTCAATCGTTATTTTGGACTTCCATTTAGATGAAAACACTCTTGGAAAACATCAATAGAAGAAAGAGAAAAAGAAAAAGAAAAGATCAATGGTGCTTTTCGGCTACTTTTCGGCTGATTGCAATCGGAAATGGGAGAAGAAGCCTAAGTAGGACTGACGTAGTGGAGATGCAATCGAATTTGAAGCTTCGATAAAATGCAAGGAAAATGAGAATGTGACAACAATCCGTTACTTTTATTGGAGCGATGAAGCCTTCATTATCCGGTTTCTAGGGGAAATGAATTTCAACACATGAACTTTGTACTAAAAAAAACTAAGTAGAGTTTCTCAAAAAAAAAAAAACTAATGTGTGAATCAACAGCTTATATTGCATTATTTACAAGGGTTGGATGTCCCCTTTCCAATTACTAGATTTATTTGCATGTAAGTGTTGATATCAATTTGGGATGGATAAGTGTGTTAGCGCGTGTTAAAATCTTGCCGACTTTATGAAGTAATCAAGTGCAAGACGCCCGACAAGAATTTTTTATTTTATGGGTACATTAAAAAAGGCCATACGACGTTTCGTCATAATCAAGCATTCATTTTTGTCTTTGGGCAAAAAAAAAAAATATTGCAGAGTTTTTTTTACTAACCATGTGAGTCTCCTATATTGATTCATTTGTTTCTGTTATTAATGCAACAGATCTCTGGGTGTTAGGTGTTCGGTCTTTGGTACGTGGTCCAATGAACCGCCTTTCTTTTAACTCTTATCTTTGCTTTTATGCAACTTTCTTATCAATAGTTGATATTTTGTATGAACTTTAAATAAATTATTTTTAATAAATGATCTGACACGACATGATTTAACTCAAATTGGATGGGTTTTCACACTATCATTGCCGAACAAACTCGACATCTATAGCAGTTGGGACTAAAAATTAAACAGGATGCATTATGCTTAAATTAGTTGGGACTAGAAATTGGACCTACCTTTAGCATCCGTTTGCTTTTAACCAAATGAGTGATGAGGCCCCCTTAACTGATGGCTTTTAGTAGGGAAAAAAAGTTGCTATAGTAATTAACTAAGGTTCTAACATATGTAAGATTAGGCCACGACACAGACTGGATTTTCGACAATGCTAAATACAAATAGTTTTATGATTGGGCCATCTCCCGAGTTCAAACATATGCTAAAGGTAGGCTTTATAACACATGCTTTTAGTAAGCACAGCCATGATTTTCATTAGATTTCATGGTCGACGTTTATGGAAGTAAGGTTGGCTTTCTAGTAAAAAACTGAATTCATTTGAAAGATTATTAATCATACATGATTGAAAATTTCAAAAATATAGTTTGTCTAATGGAAAGTATGTCAAACTGAATTATACACAACCATTTGCGCATTATTTGAGTCTAAATGCATGGAAACTAAGATTAACATCGTAGTCTTTATTTGACGATTCATATTCAGCATGGTAAATATTCTATTTACAGTTAGCTTTGCCAACTGATTTAGAAAGTCTTTTGGGAAAGTGCTTTCCTTTGCATCATCATTTTTCGGCAAATTCCATACCTTTTGTGAATGACCAAGGTTTTTCGTGGACGGTTCTTATACCATCAAATGCTTTGGGGGTAATCATTCCCCCATTGCGAGAATAATGCCCATGAAGAGTCTTTGGGTGGGTGGGTCTAGCGCACCCAAGATCATCGACTTGGTTAGACATCATTGTCGATTGAAGATGGACTTGCTTTGAGTCCCACTGGTGATTCTTATATACACGTCATGGTGAATCTAGTAAGCATTTATCAATCCTAGCTGTTTTCCCAAACAATGAAAGGTCTAGTCCTTCACGTATAAGAAAGATGGTGACAAAGTAAGCGTTTATCTCCAACACCTCCTTTTGACTTATGTTACTTTCTTTGCACATATATAGTACGGATACATAATTAGTTAATTCTACGTTTGATAAATATGTCAACTCACTAAGTGGATCTGATATGCACTCGGGTTTGTGTGCACAACTGAGGCATTGGCTGGTTATGGGCTTGACCTATCCTTGCCCCAACTTTGTTTTAGGAGGGTCATAAGGAAGGAGACGTTTAGGGGAGTTTTAGACACGATTGTGTACCAATCTTTAGTGTCTAGTGTAATTATTGCGGTCGGGTTGTTTGTGAGTGGTGAGTGGGAGTATCTAGGGAGAGAGATGGATGGCTGTGAGGCTGGGAAGGTGAGCTATGTGATGAATTTAGTTGGGACGGCAATTGCTTGGCAAGTGTTCATGACGGACGCAGTTTGCTGTCTGGTTGACATTCGACGTGTCATCCTTGTTCTCATACCCGATTAGTGCAATGGGGTTGCCTCACGGAGATGATCAGTGTTAAGATATGTCTTGAATTTTATGTACTCGGTCCAGTTCATTACTCGACCTGACATATTTTTTGTGCAACCCAAAAGTGGAGAAAAAATTGAGATTTGATTTGTGATATCGGTCCAACTCGGAGTAAGCGAACAAATCTTTATGGTGGTCCGCCCAAGCTAGAACAATCGAATTAATGTCTCGGGGGGTTCGGGGGCCATGCCCTCGAGGAAATTTTTTGGGGAGTCCTATTTATATTGCGGCTAGGTTTTTTCATTGATTAAGAGAGATTTTCGTTTTGGGAGAGATCAGTGAGCCGTGAGGTTTTGTTAAGTCATTTTCGACTTCTAAAAATTGTACTCTCTTTGACTATAGTGGAATCTTGTTTTACCTCGCCCGTGGGCGTAGATCACCTTGTGATCGAACCACGTAAATCTTTGTGTTCTGTATTTGTTTTTTCGCGTTTGCTTCAACAATCGGATACTGCTTGGAGACTAATAACCGCATCTTGGTGTATCAGTTTGCCACTCAGGGCTCTTTACATGATATACTGCATGGTATGACCGCAAGGTCCGCAACCGCACCATATCACAATCACTGTTTTGACTCGGAAAAGGGTCATATGAATCTAATTCATGGTCCTTGGACAGGTAGGAAAGGAGTGCAAGGCGCTGAACCTGGTCCTGTGCTTAGTTGGAACCAGAGAGTGAAAATTGCGTACGGTGCAGCTAGAGGCCTCGAGTACCTGCACGAGAAAGTTCAGCCTCCAATTGTCAATCGAGACGTCAGATCTAGCAACGTGCTTCAGTTCGACGATTTCCTGGCAAAGATTGCGGATTTCAACTTGTCGAATCAGTCGTCTAACACCGCAGCGCAGCTGCATTCAACTAGGGTCTTGGGAACTTTTGGCTACCATGCTCCAGAGTAAGCGACTCGATTTAGAGCCAAGAAAAACTAAAACAATGCTTTGCTAGGAAAAATTGAAGACTGAGAAGAGTTTAGAAGATTGCTTTGTTTCCGTAGAGTTATTGATTGATTGGAAGGAAAGTGAATGACCCATGCTTTTGAAATAGTGAAACGAAAAAACAACATTACCGATACGGTGGGTTGAAAGACATCCTTAGAAAGATTTAGCTCATTAGATTGTACATTACTGTTACCATTTAATTTCATTTAGAATCGAAAGAAATAACAAGATTACAAGTTATGATGTTTCTCTGTTAAGTACATCCAAGTAGTGTGGTGCATATTTCTGCTTGAAAACGACTTGATGAAGAGGATAACAGTAAAACAACTCTCTTAAGCTTTTCGTTCATTGCATAAACAGAGATAAAGCCTTATGGATATTAGACAGCATCATTTTTTTCATCGTCGCCTCAAAGAACAGAAACGATGATTGGTTTGAATGTTTTAGGAGCTGCTGAATACCATAATGTTTGGGTTCCTCAGGGATATACCAAAGTCAAAACTGTCTGGAAAATGATGTGAAATTTCTACTTCCCACCTGAGGAGTACTTTAGCGAATGGTTTAGAAGTGAAAACACTGATCACCTCTATGCAATTTCCAGTTTCTCCACGGTGATTTTTTTACTTTGAATTTCAGGTACGCCATGACAGGGCAGATCACCCAGAAAAGCGATGTCTACAGTTTCGGGGTGGTCCTTCTAGAGCTCTGATGGGGCCAAGGTGATCGCTATGATCTTGGCCATTTTTGGGGTTCACTTCTTATGTGTACCAACATAATTTGGACGATGCCATGTTAAAGGGTCGAAGGAAGAGTGTTGGTGGGGATGAAGTGAGCGTGAGATCGCCACTAATTGCTTCAATTGCAAGAGGAGGTGGATGATTAAAGATGGTGGACTGCATTAGTTTGTGTTTAGCCAAGTTCAAGTAGAGAGAGGTATTTCTTGCGGCAGAACCATCTGGATGAAAAAAATTAAAAAAAACAATGAACAGAATAAGAAGATTGAAAATGTTGCTAATATTTAATATCTTTGCTGTTTTTATTACAAGAAAGTGCATTTTGTCTTTAGTGCCCATTTTTCTATCTCTTTATGAAAGTTAGGTACTTATGTGTTATCTGACCAGTAGGATACTACTAGCTAATGCAAATGATTTTGCCGGAATTATATTATTAAACATGGGACAGAAGAGATACTTAAATTGCTTCATATAAAAAACATATAAGAGTTGACTACGTCTTGTCAAGTTGTCTCCAATCCTTACTATTTTAATGTGCGAGTTAGTACTAGCTGGAAAATTTATTTGGGGAGCATTTTCTCTGGAGTACAAGTTCCCAATGTGCTTCCGATTGATTGGGCAATCTTTCATAGAATTGTTGAATTCAAGAGACTTCCGAAGTTTTAGGACCGTCATAATGGCAGTCAACTGTTTTGGACTTCTTTCAGATACAGATACTTTTGGAAAATACTGAATGCTCTCCTCACTATTTAGTCAATTTTCAATTTTCATTCTTTTTTTCTGAAAATACCACTTTGCATCAACACAAAACCCTCCAACCAAAAAAGGCAATTACCCCCTCCTAGGAAACACTAAGGCTGCGCATGACAACTTGTCAAACAGTGTTTGATTCTGTTCTTTTGTTCCCAGAATCAGTTTGGGAACAAAAATGCGTTTGTTTAATTTTTTGATTCTGGGCACAATTTTGTCAAAAATTGTTCCCAGAATCAGTATTCAAGAATAAAAAAAAAGTAGCTTCTTGATTCTGGGAACAATTTTGATAATCAATTTTTTTTTCTTCCTTTTCTTGATTTTTAATGTAGCTTCTAATGTCCGGCCCGAGGACCGCCCTCGCCGGATCTGACGAGAATAAAATATTTTAATAAAAATATTATTAAAATAAAAAATATTTTACCGGCCATGGCGCGACAGGCCATGGCCAAAAAAAAGAAAAAATATATTTTTAATAAAAAATTTTAATAAAAATATTATTAATAAAAAAATATTTTACCGCCATGGCCGGTGACCAGGCCATGGCAAAAAAAGAAAAAATATATATTTTTAATAAAAATATTATTAATAAAAGAATATTTTACTGGCCATGGCCAGCGACCAGGCCATGGCAAAAAAAAATAAAAATGTTTATTTTTAATAAAAATATTTTAATAAAAAATATTATTAAGAAAAAGATATTTTACAGGCCATGGCCGGCGATCAGGCCATGGCAAAAAAAAAGAAAAAATATATTTTTAATAAAAATATTTTAATAAAAAAATATTTTACCAACCATGGCCGGCGACCAGGCCAAGGCCAAAAAAAATAAAAATATATATTTTTAATAAAAATATTATTAATAAAAAATATTATTAATAAAAAAAATATTTTACCGACCATGGCCGGCGACCGGCCATGGCCCAAAAAAATAAAAATGTATATTTTTAATAAAAATATTTTAATAAAAAATATTATTAATAAAAAAATTATTTGACTGGCCATGGTCGGCAACCAGGCCATGGCCAAAAAAATATATAATTTTTTTGGCATAAAAAAATTTTAATAAAAAATATTATTAATAAAAAAATATTTTACCAACCATGGCCAGCGACCAGGTCAAGGCCAAAAAAAATAAAAATATATATTTTTAATAAAAAATATTATTAATAAAAAACTATTTTACCGACCATGGCGGCGACCAGGCCATGGCCCAAAAAATAAAAATGTATATTTTTAATAAAAAATATTATTAATAAAAAATATTTTTTGGCCATATCGGCCATGGCCAAAAATATATATATATATATATATATATATATTTTAATAAAAAAATTATTAATAAAAAAAATATTTTGCCGGTCATGGCCGGCGATCAGGCCATGGCCAAAAAAAAGAAAAAATACTTTTAATAAAAATATTATTAATAAAAAAATATTTTACCGGTTATGGTTGGCGAGCAGGCCATGGCCAAGAAGGAGGAAAAGACAAAAAGAAAAGAAAAAAAAGAAAGAAATATTAAAATATTATTAATAAAAAGAAATTTTGTGGCGTTATTAAACGCATTTCTGTTCTTTTTCTATTCCAGGGATGAAATTTTGGACCGTTAACAAACGCCTTAAAATGCTCAGAATCAATTCCGGGCACATAATAAAAAAGAATCATTTCTCAGCAGAATCTGTTCCCGGGCACAGAATCGTTGTCATGTGCAGCCTAAACACACAAAAGCTAACCCCCAATACTCTACTTCCCAAAAGCCCCAAATGCACATAACCTAATGCCCTCCGTCCACCACCACCAGCTGCCTCCATTGGATTCAACCTACAACCTCTGCACATCGATGGTCGTCGACCTTTGCCACCGTTGCTCCCACTGCTGCCCTTGACCGTATAGCCCCTTTTATCACTAGTTTTTCCTTTTCTATTCGTGCTTTGTCTTTCTTTCCTTCTCTAACTCTCTTCCTCATAGCTTGATGACAGCGTAGAGCTTGCCACCTCTTTTGGCAGAGGCGTCGAACCTCTAGATCTAGAGACTTGACGTCTCCTCCATAGAGTCGGAGCTTGATGACGTGGTCAAGGTTGGACTGTGATGGAGGAGCCACGAGCTCGAGCCAGTAGTGCTGCAAATTCAGAGAGAGACGTACGAAGGCGAGCTACTCGGGGTTGATATGAGTGAGGGCAAGCCGCATTGAAAAGCAAGGGTCTTGTAATTGGGATTTACTTTTGAGGGTTGGAGAATTTAAAAATGTGACAGGGGTAACTTTGTTAAAAAAAAACGATTTTGTAAATAAATGTAGGATGCTAACTGCCGTAAACTGCAAATTGCTATCCAAATTGAAAACCTAGGATGCAAAGTGGTAATTTCAAAAATAGAAGATGGAAAGAGATAATGATATGAAAATTGAGGATGGTTCTTGGGTTTTTTGGGGTCACTGGGCCTCCTTTCTACCCCCCAATGTATCACTTGTGTAAGGTGACAACAATGTGTCACTAATTTTTAAATTAAAACCAAACTTGACTAGAAAATTTCTAGTTCCTTCATATTCAAATACAAGGCTAATCTTTTGTCAATAAGAATCACCTTCTCGTAATGAGAGAAATTGTTTTAATGGACTACCATGTTGAGAATCAAAATGACAAGAAACACTTCTTTTTACAGGATGAAGATTGGCACCTCATTGATCGAGTTTACCTGCATATTTCGTAGTCACCTTTAATTACTGCGCTAATTCAAAGAGCTAAAAAGTTACCATATAAGTAATTTGCGGACAGTGTCTATATTTTCCCAACGGGATAAGTAAAGTAATAGCAGTCGATACCTTTAACAAGCCATCGCATTATTACATTGTGTAGAGATAAAGTTAGAAATGAAGAATAGATAGTTAATTTAGTATGATATTAACTGGTAAAAAGAAGTGGGTGATGAGACTAGCAAATATCACCTAGAGGGGGTTGAATTGGTGATTTGAGTACTATTTGATCAATTTTAATACGGAAGTAATTGATCACAGGTAAAGTCTGAACAACGTTAAGATTTTGATCAATCTTTGAATGGCAAACAAGTAAATGTGCAATTAAATAAATAAAAGGAGTTTTAGGGAAGAGAAAATTTGCATACAGATGTATAGTGGTTCGGCTTAGATCAAGCCTACGTCCACTCTCCCATGTTGACAACCTACTGGCTAGATTCCACTAGATGATCAATCAAGATATTACAACTGTGAGTGATAATCCTCAGTGTATGATCGGTCTCACTATCTCATTCAATCACTCTTTGCAGTCTCTCTCAAAGATTACACTTTAAAGCTCACGAAAGACAAGTATAGAGATTGAAGATCGCTCAGACTTTAGAATTCTAGATTCTGGATCTCGTCTCTTACTTTTGCTCCTCGGCACGTTAGTCTCTTTTTATACTCTTCCATTTCCAATCTAGCCGTTGGATAGTCTCCAGAGGATCGTCTTCCAATCTACCGGTTGGACAAAACTGTATCAAGAAGATTGCGTAGCCGTTGAGGGACAAAATCTGAATCTCCGCTGAATCTGATTGCCCATACAACCAAAGTCTTGGTTTCCATAAGTAGAGCTTCTCTGTTTAGAAAATAGCTTGTCTCGAAATTAATTGCCAATCAATCAAGATGTTTTGCATATTAAACCGTTGCAAAACAATCTTCAAGATTGAGTCAATCAATTTATTTTAAGTGTGAAATCCAAGCTAGATTACTAGCCGTTATGTGTGTTCTGAATACGTGTCACGTTCTGGACTTACATTCTAAACTTGTGTCCATAGTTCATCATCTCTGGTGTAAAGTCTGAATCTCTTTGAGTATAAAGTTTGAACCTCTTCATCTGTAGTATAAAGTTTGAACCTCATTATCTGCAATATAGAGTCTAAACATCTTGAAGTAATTACACAATTTGAACAAGATTGCCATATGCTTCTCTTCCAAGAATAACTTCCTGAATCAAAATACTTCAAAGCATTTATCAGACTTACAAAACATTCATGGATAGTTTTATCAACTTCAAAATCTATTAAGAGGTTTTCCTAACAGTGGGAAGAATTCTGATGACTACAATGAAGTTTTTCTGGTGGCCTCAACTATTCTTTTTCTGCATTCTATTTTTAAATGTGACAATGGATTTATAAATGTTGGGCTTAAATTTTTTTATGTTTATTTGGGCTCTTCTCAATTAATGGGTCAAAACTATAGAGCAAATCTTTTTGA